TTGTAATGCTAAAATAAGACATTAGATTTCAAAGTTATATTATATTTATAATTAATTATATTCATATAATCAATATTAAATCTTAAAGGCTGATCTCTATACAAGGTATCTCAAAATTTGCAAATTGAAATACGGACAGCAAACAAAATTTTTGAAAAAAATAAGTATTTAAAAAGTATTTGCCATTTTTCGTTTTGAACAATAGTTTTTGAGATATAATTAGATTTCAAACTAGTAAATTATAGATTACATATATCAGTTAAACGGTTGTCTGTCCGTGAGTTACGCATTGATAGTTAATAATCGCGCGTGGCGATTCACGGTCAGAATTAATACAATCTATTATTTCACTATATTTTATACACAATTATATTTATACATACTTTATTTGTGGAGTATATATTGTTAACGGGAAATAATCCATCACAGAGATATAAATGAACTTTTCCGCTTTAGCAATACAGTGCACAATCGCGTCTAGGTCGCTACTTCTACCTTTTGGTGAAAATGGTGGAGGTGAACTCTGTAACATAATATTAACATACATAATGTAAAAATACAAGATATAACATTGCGAATGGCATGCAGCCATATTGGTTTTTAGCATTTGTACCAATTTCTGATTAGTCAAAAACATGAAAAATGGTCATTATAGACAAGTACGTATCCACGGGAATGTTATATATGGAATTCTTACAGCATGAATATATGTATATATAGGTAATATATATTTTCAACAATTTGAAAAAAATAATTGCACATGTTTATTAAGATGATACTAACCGCGATAAACAGTTTGTACTTATTATCCATATATGTAAAATTCATAGGATTATCAATATTTATCTTTGTGCTAAAGGAATCTGGCCATGTGGAAGGCACTTTACCATCTTCGCTTAATTTCCAATATACCTATAAAATAAAAAAGATCAATAATAGTTTTCAATTCAAAGGTAGAAAACATAGTTACTGCTTTTTTTTGTAACTTCACAGCTAAGCATTTGTAACTTACATCAAATATTTTGGCGTAATCGTTCGCTAAACAGGAACAATTCAGGGCTATCAAACCGAGTTCTTTGACTTGCGAAAGAGATCTCCAATCCATATTCGCTGAACCAACGTATACATGAGTACGATCGATAAGCCATAATTTGGTGTGAAGTACACCGCCGCCCAACAATCCAGCGAAATTTAAGCTTCTCACCTGAATCCAAATAAAATATATTACGTTGCCTTCAAAATTACTTATAACAAAAAACGATAAAAATCATATTATGTTGCGGAATTAAAATTTAATAAATAAATAGATGTTGAAAAAAATTAAACAATAAAAATAAAAAAATTAAATAAAAGAAATCTTATATTCGACCAAAGCAGATCATAATGCTTAAATATTTCTGTGAGAATTTGTATACGATATACATATTTGATTTTGCAAATCGCGTGCTGAAATCTTCCTCGGCTTTGAAGCTTGCTCACTTATTAGAATGACAAACAGTTTAATAATTTTTTATGCTAAACAACTTTATAAGAATATATTAATAATGAAAATTCATTAATTCCTGTTAGGAGGGAGGATGGGGTAAATTTTGTGTTCTATTTATAAAACTTATTTTGTTAATAACTT